AGACTAAAGTCCGCCCGAAAGGCGGCTTTTAGGCTAGTTTAAAGTAAAAACAGTCGCATTTTATACATAAAGGGCTTAACTTCGTTTTTCGTTGCAATTGCAATTGATAACGTCTAATTAACCGGAATTAAAACTCAACGGGATACGTTACGTTGCTTATATATATATATATATATATATATATATATATATATATATATATATGACGTCACATATTATGAAATGGACAAAGACATTTTATGTTTATACATTCTTTTTATAGATACAAATATTTAAGTAAATGCGCTGTAATTATAATAAACAGTATTAAACAACATTTACCGGCCGAGAAATTTTCACATTCAGGTCGGTAAATGTGGTTTAATACTGTTTATTATAAACAGAACATTTACTTAAAAAATATTTGTATCTATAAAAGAATGTATAAACATATAAACGTCTTATATATATATATATATATATATATATATATATATATATATATATATATATATATATATATATAGTAGTGGGTAGCAAAAGTATTTAACACATTGGTTTTTTCTTACATATCTCAAAAATAACAGATCAATTTCAACGAAACTTATAGGAAATATTTAAACGAACATTGTCGATCAAAACATAGAAGGAAAATTTAAAACCACTGTTTTGAGAAACATTTATTAACAATAAATAAAATAACCCATATGCAAAAGTATTTAACACACTTTCCTAATATTTAGTACAGTAGCCTCTTTTCTGCTTCACAGCCTCCAGTCGTTTCCCGTAGTCTTCAACTAGTTTCTTGCAGGTACTTGTTGGTATTTTGACCCATTCTTCTTCACAAATTTTCTTCAATTTGTTTAAATTCGATGGATTTCTTTTATGAACTCGTAACTTCAATAGTTTCCACAAATTTTCGATTGGATTTAAATCCGGTGACTGGCTTGATTATTCCAGGACATGAATGCCATTATTATTAAACCAATTCTTAGTTGTTTTAGCGGGTCATTGTCTTGCTGAAATACAAAATTACGACCATGTCCCAAAGATGTGGCACTGTTCAAGAGTTGAGTTGACAAAATTTGAGTGTATTTTGCAGCATTCATTGTTCCTTCGATGATATTCATTTTTTCTACTTCATTTGAGGAAAAACAACCCCACATCATAATATTTCCACCCCCATGTTTGATTGTAGGGATGGTATTTGCTGGCTCGTATTCCGCTCCTTTTTTCCTCCATACATGAGTGCGCATGTTTCGCCCGTAAAGCTCAATTTTCGTTTCGTCTGACCAAATTACTTTCTCCCAAAAATCATTAGATTCAATTTCATATTTCTTTACAAAATTCAAACGGGCTTGTACATGTCGGCGTTTCAGTAATGGAGTCTTTCTCGGTGATCTTGAAGTGAGACCTGCACGATTCAGTGATCTTTTAATTGTATCTTTACTAACTTCAATTCCGGCATTTTTCAAATCATTCTGAATTTCTCGACGGGTTAAAAATGGATTTTTCTTCACAGTAGGGGAAATGTATCGCTCATTAGCCTCATTTAAGATACAGGAACGACCACTCCTTTGAATGTTTTCAATAGTATCGAATTTTTTCCATTTTCGAACAACAGCGCCAACTGTACTCACAAGCAAATTCAAATCTTGAGCGACTTTTCTATATCCCTTACCATCTTTGTGATTCTTTATGATCTTCTTGCGTATGTCGTTCGACAATTCTTTTGTTTTCACCATTTTCTTGCAGTAGTGGCAACAGAATAGCTGCAGTGTCTCAGAGCTGTTATCTAATAGCCAGTTGAGTGTCGTGCAGTGCTGTCATTGGTCGACATATCACATCATATCAATATGGGTAGGAATCATGACGACACGTCTCTTCAAGCATAATATTTGCATTGGTGTTAAATACTTTTGCATATGGGTTATTTTATTTATTGTTAATAAATGTTTCTCAAAACAGTGGTTTTAAATTTTCCTTCTATGTTTTGATCGAGAATATTCGTTTAAATATTTCCTATAAGTTTCGTTGAAATTGATCAGTTATTTTTGAGATATGTAAGAAAAACCAATGTGGTAGATACTTTTGCTACCCACTGTATATATAGTTAGTTAGTTTATGAAAAACTAGGTAATCCGTATGGGTAAACCTAAGGAGGATAAAATCCAAAGAGCTCAATGTAAATCCAGAGCAAATAATTTGAATAAAAACAGACCACTTTAAGGTTCCATGTAATAAATTATTTCACCACAGCCCTGTTAAAGAACTGCAGATCATCAGACTTTACTTTCAAACAAAGAATGAAAAGAAAATTTACACATTTTTGATGGGCCGTATTAAACATATGTAAATTAATGAAGTGAGGGGCGAGAGATAAGACATGAGTGAGTTAGCAGACATTGACACATATATATATATATATATATATATATATATATATATATATATATATATATATATAATTATTTTTCTAGCACGCGTACTGTGACTTATTCGAAATATTAGATAGTTCGGACTCTCTAATGTCTTTTAAGAATGACTTTATGTGAAGGGGTTATAAGGAATGGTGATTTTAAAAGAAAACAAAAACAAACTATAGGGAACGGTTGGTTGCGTATACGAAAAAAAAAATCGAAACACAGTTCCACCGACAACACATCTTTGTAATTTTATTTATACAGCGCATCTTCAGGGGATTAAAATGTCTGTGGATGTGTATATATATATGCAGTCCCTCTGTAAATTCAAAATATTTGTTCACTGTTCGCTTACAGCGGTTCAAATTCAAATTTATTTTCCAGTTATTGAAGGAAACAGCATTTGTCATTTTTTTTTAAAAAAAGCAAACGATTTTTTTAATTATAAAATTTTAAATTCGTATTTTTATATAAAACTTTGCTTCTACAAACATTAAAAAAATTGTTGCTATACTCATATTTGACTTGAGATATTTTTGGCCGCAATTCTCTTATATAAAAGGCTTCCATAATATTACGTTTTGCGTATTATTATTTTGATGAAGTGTTAATGTATTTTGGACTAATATCTGTCTAAACTTTGAATGTCGACATGAGTGTTGCTTTAAATGTTCTTAGATTGAACTATGCACATTTAAGTGAAACATAAGCCGTCTCGTCAATGTCATCGTTGTAAGACCAGCATATGTATTAATATTTTTATCAGAGATGCAATCTCCTATATATATATATATATATATATATATATATATATATGAATGGACTTAGGTAGATGAGATAACTAGATATTAGCGACCGTATACGCGTGTACTGGCGTGCATACGCTGGTAAGCAAATAAATAATTACCAAATTTAGCCAAGACGTGTACACATAAATAATAGTGCTCATGCCCGATGAATTGGTTAACCAACGAAATTCAAGAAGTCGCACATCAAAAGAAGATATATGTGTATTTGTACACACACACACACACACACACACACACACACACACACACACACACACACACATATATATATTGAGTAAATTTAGAAGAGAAAGACTGTATAAAATGTCGGATGATTCATAGCAATTTCTCTCTACATCGCTCTTCCTCTGTCTGTCTTTTTCTCTTTCTTTCTTTCTTTCTTTCTTTCTTTCTTTCTTTCTTACTTTCTTTCTTTCTCTCGATGTCTCGCTATATCTTTCTCTCTCTCTTCCTTTAGCTTTCTAATTATTATCACCCTTTCTTTCTAATTATGACCTTTTCTTTCTCTCTCTTTCCACCCTCTCCTTCTAATTATGACCTTTTTCTTTCTCTCTCTTTCAAACTCTCTCTTTCTAATTATGACATTTTATTTCTCTCTATTTCTTACTCTCTCTTTCTAATTATGGCTTCTTTTTCTTCCCTCTCTCCTCCTAATTATGGCCTTTTCTTTCTTTCTCTCTCTCACACTCTTAACAATAAAAGAAAGTATTAAAACCATGAGGAAAAGGAGTACAAATGATTAAGAAAGGATATGAATTATTAAAGGAAAGAATGAAAGAAAGAGACAAAGAATAATAAGAAAGAAAGAAAGGGGAATGCAAAGAAAGAAAGAAATAAAGAAAGAAAGATAGTAAATCACGTTGATAAAAGAAAGAAAAAACGAAAGAAAGAAAAGAAAGAAAGAAATATAGTAAATCATGTCGATAAAAGAAAGAAAGAAAAAGAAAGAAAGAAATATAGTAAATCATGTCGATAAAAGAAAGAAAAGAAAGAAAGAAAGAAAGAAATATAGTAAATCATGTCGATAAAAGAAAGAAAAGAAAGAAAGAAAGAAATATAGTAAATCATGTCGATAAAAGTAAAGAAAGAAAATAAAGAAAGAAAGAAATATAGTAAATCATGTCGATAAAAGAAAGAAAGAAAAAGAAAGAAAGAAATATAGTAAATCATGTCGATAAAAGAAAGAAAGAAAAAGAAAGAAAGAAATATAGTAAATCATGTCGATAAAAGAAAGAAAAGAAAGAAAGAAAGAAATATAGTAAATCATGTCGATAAAAGAAAGAAAGAAAAGAAAGAAAGAAAGAAAGAAATATAGTAAATCATGTCGATAAAAGAAAGAAAAGAAAGAAAGAAAGAAATATAGTAAATCATGTCGATAAAAGAAAGAAAGAAAAGAAAGAAAGAAAGAAATATAGTAAATCATGTCGATAAAAGAAAGAAAAGAAAGAAAGAAAGAAATATAGTAAATCATGTCGATAAAAGAAAGAAAGAAAAGAAAGAAAGAAAGAAATATAGTAAATCATGTCGATAAAAGAAAGAAAAGAAAGAAAGAAAGAAATATAGTAAATCATGTCGATAAAAGAAAGAAAGAAAAGAAAGAAAGAAAGAAATATAGTAAATCATATCGATAAAAGAAAGAAAAGAAAGAAAGAAAGAAATATAGTAAATCATGTCGATAAAAGAAAGAAAGAAAAGAAAGAAATAAAGATATATAGTAAATCATGTTAATAAAAGAAAGAAAGAAAGAAAGAAAGAAAGAAAAGAAAAGAAAAGAAAGAAATATAGTAAATCATGTCGATAAAAGAAAGAAAGAAAGAAAGAAAGAAAGAAAGAAAGAAAGAAAGAAAGAAAAAAAATTGATTTTTAAGCCGTCATTCAACGAATCGTCTCGTCTGGGTGCAGAAAACGTAAGAAAAATTTTATATATATATATGGATGACAAGACGAGAAAGAAAGAAAGAAAGAAAGAAAGAAAGAAAGAAAGAAAGAAAGGAAGGAAGAAAATGTAAAAAAGAAATTAAATTGATAGGAATAAAGAAAGAAGGAAATATAGAAAAGCAAAGAAATGCAAAAAAGAGAGAAAAAAGAAAGAAAGAATGAAAGAAAGAGAATGCAAAAAAGAAAAAAGATTAAATTGATAGAAAGAGAGTAAGAACGAAATATAGAAATGCAAATAAAGAAAAAAAAAAGAAGGAAAGAAAAAGAAAGAAAGAAAGAGGGAAAGAAAATGAATTCAAAAAGAAGATAAAGTTGAATTGATAGAAAAAAAAGAAGGAAATATAGCAATAGAAAGAAAGAAAGAAAGAAGGAATGAAAAAATAAACGAAGACAATGCAAAAAGAAGATAAAGTTAAACTGATAGAAAGAAAGAAGGAAATATAGAAATGCAAAGAAAGAACAAAGGAAAGAAGGAAAGAAAGAAAGAAAAAAGAAAGAAGGAAGGAAAGAAAGAGACTGCAAAAAAGGTAAAGTTAAAAAGAAAGAATGAAGGAAAAGAAAGAAAGAAAGAAGAAAGACAGAAATAAAGAGAATGCAAAAAAGATAACGTTAACTTGAGAGAAAAAAAGAAAGAACGAAATATAGAAATGCAAAGAAATAAATGAAAGAAAGAAAGAAAGAAAGAAAGGAAAAAAGAAAGGAAAAAAGAAAGGAAGATACCAACAAAGCATAAAAGGAATGAGAGGGAATGTAAAGAAAGAAAGAAATATAGGAAATCATATTTGTAGAAGAAAAAAGTAAAGAAAGAAAGAAAAAATAAAGAATAGAAAAGAAAGAAAGAAAGAGACAAACAACGGATAATAAAGAAAGAAATGGAAATGCAAAGAAAGAAAGAAAGATTGTATCTTCTGTGATGTCATTGAACGAATCGCTTCGTCAAAAAGTTTGGATGCAGACAACATGGAGACAGAACAATGTGTTCATGGAAAAGAAGAACAATGATGAAAGAAAGGACAAAAGAAAGAACAGGAATTTCATTGAAAGAAAGAAAGAATGATTTCATTTTCTGAGCTTTCATTGAATGAATCGGCAAGTCACATCGCTTCGATGCCGAAAAATATAAAGACTGGGTTATATAAATATGGACGTCGTTTTGATATGCGACAAACGTTTGGATTTGCTTAGAGTAGCTAAAAAAGATGCTGGCATGCCAGTTAAAAAATGAATAGAACGCTCGCTATGTTGCCATAGACAAACATGAAAATGCTGTTCGTAGAGTTACGTTCTATTCTTTGCATATCTCTCTTGTCATGTGTCTTCTAAGTAAGAAAAACAATAAGATGAAATGGTTATATATATATATATATATATATATATGTGTGTGTGTGTGTGTGTGTGTGTGTGTGCATATATCCAAATGTAAAAGAACGAAGAGTTCAAAACATTAATTTAAAAAAGGGCTCAATACAAAAGTAGAGCAATAAACATTTATTTATTATGCAGTGTTACATAAGAACATGCATATACCCACTACAAAACTGTACATCTTGTTTCAACGTTAAAAATTTTTTCTAACGTTTCATCAGGTGGGAAATTACGATGCTACGAAAATATTTTATTCCGAAATATTTAACGTTGAAAACAGTTTTGTGGTGGTTATGTGCATGTTCTAATGTAACACTGCATAATATATATATATATATATATATATATATATTAAAAAGAAGAGTTTCTGGGTGCCGCAAACGTTTTTGGTTGTAATGTGGATTTATTGAAAAAAAATATTATACTTTGTTTTACATAATTTCACGACACGTGTTTCTGGTCTGGTCTCGCAACCGTCTTCATTCTGAAAGTGAAAACATAATATTAAAAATCGAAATTTTTCTTCATTTTCAATGTGGAATATTAAATATGAGACATTCTGTCTCATAAACAGAATGTCTCATATGAGAAATTTAAGAATTTCTTCATGTTCAATGTGGAATATTCTCGATATGAGAACATTCTGTCTGAAAAATTAATTATGTCTCATATGTAAAATTCCACTTTGAACATGAAGAAAAAAATGAGATTTAGACCAGAAACACGTGTCGTGAAATTATGTAAAAAAAGTATAATATTTTTTCTCAATAAATCCACATTACAATATAAAAAACGTTTGCGGCACCCCCTCTTATTTTTTAATATACATACTTTTCTCTCGTTGGAACCACTACAACATATTTCTTTTATATATATATATGTACAAAACTGTACATTTTGCTTGAACGTTAGCATCGTGATTTCTCATCTCAGTAAACGTTACATTTTTAACGTTGAAACTGGATATATAGTTTTTTAGTGGGTATGTACATATTCTAAGGTAACACTTCATATATATATATATATATATATATATATATATATATATATAAACAGTGTTACATTAAGCTTAACCAGATTCCCTGACGATCCGCTTAGATGAAACCTTGGTAAGTTTTGTCTGGCTCTCTAGGTTTGACTATATATATATATATATATATATATATATATATATATTAGGATGTTACATTGAAAACATGTCAAAATCGCTACGCAATTGCAGTCGTGTTTCGATGCGTATCAAATGCATTTCATCAGGCGATTGTAAATCTAAATAAATCGTTCACTCGCCTGATGAGATGCATTTGATGCACATCGAAACGCGACTGCAATTTGTGGTGATTTTGGCATGTTTTCGATGTAATATCTTTAAAAATAATAATATAGTTCTACTTCGTATTAAGGATATTCTATTATGTTGACATAGAAGATTGTTATGCGACGATAAAGGTCGCAGAATAATAGACGCAGTTCGTAATTTCAAGATGCGATTCTTAAATTTACATTACATTAGAACTTTATATTAATAATAAAATTCCATTCCTCGATGTATTTATTGATTCCAACACACATAAATTTATTCCTTCTCTGAATAGGAAACCCGCAAGCATTAAATAATGTCTTCTTAATTACAACGATATAAGTTCGCTGTTATAAAATTTGAATCCAATCTACGCAAATGATATCTTCTTCCAAAATCATATTCTATAAAGAATTACATAACATTAAGCAAACACTTGTTAATAATGGATTTCTTAATTCCCTCATTGACCAACAAATTAAAATCTATCTCAATAAACTTAATAATACCTCTAACAAAATTGATAATATTAATAATAATAATGTACGTCAAAATAAACATAATACTATTAACTTATACTATTGTAACCAAATGCATAAAAATTACAAACATGATGAAACAATATTCAAAGACTTAATAGGTAGAAATGTTAACCTCATTAATAATAATAAACAAGTTAAGCTCATCATATATTATAAAAAATTTAAAACAATTGACCTCATAGCCTCTAATAACCCCACAACTAAATCCTCTACAAAAAACCAATGTAGTTTATCAATATACATGCACGTTCAGAGATTGTATCGAATACCAGTAATAAACGCACTGCATATATTGGTTTTACTACAACCACACTCTCTCATAGACTTACCTCTCACCTTTCTGATCTTAGTTCTATTAAACAACATTTCTTAGAAAAACATAGCCATGTACATAATATTAGACAGATATTAGTCGATAACACAATAATTATTCACAGATACACACAGTAAAAAGAACTTTCAGATATTGGAGGCCATCTATATTAAAACAAAGCAACCCACACTGAACAAAATTCCATTTCAAACTAGTCACAACACATTATATTGCATCTAGACATATGGTTCGGTTGTTAATATTTTGGTCTCTCACGTGGTACTGCATCACAGAACCGCATCCTGAATTTACGAGCTGCGTCTGCTATTCCCCGACTGTGATTGGCGCATAACAATCTTCTATGTCAACATAACAAAATATTATCTTCGATGGTGAATATCTTCGTTAAAATATCCGTATAACCACGCTGAAGATGGCTGATGTAACCCGAAAGGTTAGATCAAGGATAAACTTAATAAAAAATACCCGAATGTTGGCTAATTTTTGTCTTTATTTTCACCAGAAATTAAAGCAAACATACCAACATTAGAACGGCTCATGATTAGACATAATATACATTCATTGTCTGTTATATTTAACAATATATATATATATATATATATATATATATATATATATATATATATTTTGAACAATAAGAAAATAAAAAATTAAAAAATTAAAATCGTTAGACACACTGGGTTGTAGATTAATATTCTTTCGTTTTTTTATTATTATTATTCCATTTAGATTCCTCGACTAGTTTCGACCGAAATGGCCATCATATATATATACCAGCAGCCAGGCCTGGCGTTGCTCGTGCTTGATTCAAAAATCGTACGACTCATACAGCAATCGCTATCACTTGACTTCAAATATTTTTGCCATTCCTTGCTTTTAATGGAGTGCCCTTTGCCGTGCTGATGTTGCTACATGCCTTACTTCTTGCCTATCTCACACTGCGAATTTTTTTAAGCTCTATACTAAACATTAAATCTGTTACGAAAAAAGAACTAAACAAAATGAACACAAAACGATCAGCTTTAAAAAAGGAGTCGTAAGTGGAAAAACCGAATGAAAAAAGAATGTTTACAACAAATACTTTTTCACATCCATCCCAGTTCTGCGGAATCAGAATCAACGTTGAGTTTAAGCAAGCGAATGAGCCAATTGGAGTAAAGTGCCATGCAGATTTAAATTTTTCCCACTTGTGACGAATGCAGCTATCGTTTTTTTTTTTTTTTGGATGCTAGCATGTTAGTTAAGATTTGTGTCAGTCAGCTGTTGGCTCTCACGCTGGCCAATAGAATCTTCCAGCCTATTCGTGGCAG